ACACAACAAAAATACTTAAACTAGAGATTAAAAGAACTGATGACAAAGAAAGAATGAATAAGGAGAAATCTTTACCCTAGCATATTTATAAGTTTGTTAGTATATAATGGAAGTATTATTTTAGTTTTACTCTATCCATAGGATCTTGTACAAATATGAATTGGTACAAATTTGTTTATTTTGCAGCATGTATAATAGTCTTCTATAATAAGTGGCATTTAAAAATAAATATTTCAGTTCAACTACTTTGGAAAGTAGTGTGGAGGTTCCTCAAAAGACTCCACATAGAGCTCCCCTATGACCCAGCAATCCCACTTTTGGGCATTTACCCAAATGATCACAAACAAGACCATACTAAAGCTCCCAGCACAAATATGTTTATTGCAGTATTCTTTACCATAGCTAAGATATGGAACCAATCCAGATGAATGGACCAAGAAAATGTGGTATATATGCACAATGGAATTCTATGCTTCCATCAGAAAGAATGACATTGCCCTATTTGTTAGGAAATGGAAAGACTTGGAAAAAATTATATTAAGTGAAGTAAGCCAGGCACAAAGAAACATAGGTCCCATGGTTTCCCTTATTTGCAATTATTAGTATATGTCTGAGACAAGCAGAAACGGTCAGATAAGTTGATGTTAGGTGAAATTAACCCCAAGATAAGTATTCAAATGTTTTTGCTTTCATGCGATTGTTTCTAACACATTTATAAGATGATTTCTTTGTTGCTTTTTATGTCCCTCTCCCATGGTATCACCCCTGCTTTCACTGTATTTGATGTTGGTATAATTTGTGGAGGGGAAGGGAAAACACAAATCATTTAAATAAGGATACAGGTGGACCCATTGCAACAATGAGATGTACAAGTTGTTATGTCAAAAAACAAACTTTACAACTTTGGAGGGGGGAGTAGGGGGTCTGGGGGAAGTGGGGAGATGGGAAGGGATGAGAAGGGGAAACAAAGGAGGAAGCAACAATGCTTGATAAGAAATGTACTCATTATCTTGCCCATGTAATTGTAACCCCTCTGTATGGTACTTTCACATTAAAAAATATGTATTTCAAATGCCCTTTCTTCTATTCTAGACCTGCATTGATCCTAAGCCAAATCCTCAATTTGCTTTTATGTTGTTAAGATTCAGTTTGTAAAATAAAAACCCCAAACTTAGACAACATGAGTTGAAAGTAAATACCATTTGAATATATTAGTCCACAGGGAAAACAATTCTAATTATAAAGACTACAAAAACGGAAATATTCTTAATCCTTAGGGTCCTTAAAGCCAATCACCGATTTTCAGAAATAAATGAACAAAAAATGACATTTTAAGTACTAGATAACACACATTACCTCCAGTAACTCCAGTTATTTTTAGTGTCTGAAAGTAGACCATAGTGCAATTTTCTTTTCCTTCCTTCCTTCCTTTCTTTCTTTCTTTCTTTCTTTCTTTCTTTCTTTCTTTCTTTCTTTCTTTCTTTCTTTCTTTCTTTCTTTCTTTCTTTCTTTTCTTTCTTTCTTTCTTTCTCTCTTTCTTTTATCTTCCTTCCTCCCTCCCTCCTTTTCTTTCTTCCTTCCTTCCTTCCTTCCTTGTCTTGCTTTCTCTCTCTGCTCCTCTTCCACTCTTTTTTTCTCTCTTCCTCCCTCAATGTCTCCCTCCCCCCCCCCCCCCCCACCTCTCTGCAGTACTAGGGCTTAAATTTAGGGCCTTAAGCTTGTCAGACAAGCACTCTAGCACTTGACCTATGCCTCCAATCTTTCTACTTCAGTTGTTTTTCAGATAGGATATGTGCACTGTCTTCCAGGTCCAGCCTTAGACAGTAATCCTCCTACACACGCCTCCTGAGCAGATGAGAATGCACACATGTCCTACCATACGCAATAATTTGTTTTCTTGATAAAAAATTATCAAAAAAGCACTTACAGTGTTTCACTTGTTTGCTACTGTCAAGCAGTGTAAACCCAGAAGTTTTTGCGCTTGACTATAAACTTATCATTAGCAACTAATGTAAAACTATCTTTGTTGTTTCAAAATCAATTTGTTAACTTGACATACATTTTATAGTAAAATGTAAGTTGTAAAAGAATTATTTCAAGCAAATCAGTCATATATTTTTATTCTAGACATAAGCTAATGTGCAATAAAACAGATAAATGCATATTATTTCTGAATAATACCAGAAACCACTTGTGCTGTGTAAAGGGCCAAATATTAAATACAACTACTAAACATTTTGGAGCTAGAATCATATAATCAGGCCAGACAAACACCTGAAATTCTCCTATATAGCATAGAAAGTTGGAGGATATGTTTATTGCATTTGAAAAACAGTTCCCAAACTGGAATAATAGATATACAATATGATTGTCAGGAGTCTTGTGATATAAAATCAGCTGCTTTCATGTGTAGAAATGTTAATTATTTTATATTAGTAATATTTCTGATGCTATAAGACTTAGTCATATTTTTCCCTTGTGTTAATTTGACCATGGGACACAAAATTATTTAATCTATAATACTCCATTTTCATGTTTACTTAGACAATAAAAAACATAGACATACACACACACACACACACACACACACACACACACAAAGAAGGGCTGGCAACATAGTGGTAGATGAATGCCTTACATACATAGAGCTCTGGTTTGATTCCCAGCACCACACACACACACACACACACACACACACACACACACACACACACACACACACACAAATGTCATTCAATTTTTAATTTTAATAATACATGTTTTTATGATAACATATTATAAGTCACATCTGTATTCTATTCATATAAATTCTTGTGAAATATTCTTTCAATGTCTATGCATGCAATTTGTGATTTCCCCCTATTTTAGCTATCTTGGGAAATAACTTTCAACTAATAGTCTTTACATTTTGACTCAAAATGGCTGATGTCAAACTCTAATCAAGGATAATTCTCTAATATTGACTATCCTGTGTTAGTTTGTTAACAAGGGTTGCACTGACTGGCACTGAAGGGTTACATTGGGGGCAGGCAGGGGAATGAGGTGGGGGGGGGAAGCAATGGCTGCTTCTGGGATCCTGACAATGGCCATCAAGATGGTGCTGCCCAGACCTCACTCTAAATAGAGCTGTTATCTCCAACCTAATAATCTGCAAGGTCCTCTCCTGCTTCACGTACATGGGGTTATGTAGGCTCTCCTTTTCCTAAGATGACATCTTATTATACTATAGTAAAGTCAGATACTGGGAGCTATACTTTAAAGCTTCCAATGCCCAAATAACTTATTGTAATACTGGTTTTAGAGTCTAAAAAATGTGAAACTTTAAGCTAACTGGACTACTTGTATAGTAGCAGACGGATGTTGTGGTTCTTCACAATGAGTGCATTTCCATTCTAGGAACTGCAATACATTTGGAAAAGTACTTTGTGTTGTGAAGTTTACTTGAACTTTTTCTTTAAAACCAAAACCTTCTTTCAACCACGGTATAAGTCTTATTGAGTGAGGATAGCAATTCTATATCTACTTGACCCAAGAAATTTCATGAATTTCCTTTTCAGTTAATTTTCTGTGTGTGTGTGTGTGTGTGTGTGTGTGTGTGTGTGTGTGTGTGTGTGTGTGTGTGTGGGAGAGAGAGAGAGAGAGAGAGAGAGAGAGAGAGAGAGAAAGCAAGTAAAAGGGAGAATGCGTGTGTATCTATTGTATTTTGTGTTTAGAAGAGCTTCTAGTTTCCATTATAAGAATTTAATTATGAATGTGATTTCCCATTAAACCTATCACTTCATTGTGAGTTTTAGACCATCCACATATTAAGTAAGCATTCAATATATGTTCATTTCACATTTGTTCTTACATATCAGTTAGTCTTCAAAGCAACATTTCACAATAAAAAGCCAAATATCTTTTAAAATATGTCTCAGATTAACTGATTGTAAGTTAATATGTACTTTAGATTTTTTTTATTTATTTAAGTCATTTTATGCTTATCAAACATCCAACAGACCATTTTTACTGACTGGTGGATTTTTAACCAATCATGGTACCCACATTAAAGACACTAATATTGTGATTTGCAGAGATTTGCACAGAAAACCCTATGAAATAGCATGAAGTAATGCAATATATCTACTCTTAAGTGAAGCCTTCATCAAGCATAATATCTCAGATCTTTCCTTTGGTCAAGAAAAGAAAAGTTTCCTTTCCCTGAACACTTCTCCTCAGGCCTCCAGTTTTCTTCCTTCTGAAATAGACACAAGTTTTCCAACTTGAAATGTCGGGTTAGATGAATGGCATTTCTAGGCACATAACATTAAGCAGGTTTAGAACTCGATAGATTAATTTTCTCTGCCTAAAACTCACATCCTCATCTTCTCGTGTCTCCCACCTGTTTCCTGCTGTCTCATGTTCATTTAAAATGAGAAAAGAGAGAGCAAGTTGATGGTGCATCTTACTTCAGAAATGGCCTAGAGATAAAGTAAATAGGGTTGCCTCACCTGATGATAAATGCCAACATTTTAAAACAGAATCTACCAAAGAATCAGGGGATTGGTATTTGGGAAATGGATTAGGAAAAGGTGAGTTCATTTTTGTTCCAATCCGAAAGACTTTAGTTTTTGAATAATCAAAAAGCAATTGTTCAAAGAGCTCACTATCTAATAAAGATGTGATTATGGTTGTACTGCTATAACTCAAATAATAAAAAAGCAATTATATTACTTGATAGCCTTTTAAGATACATATTTGTTATTTTTATTCAATGTGGCTTTTTTGGGGGGGCGGGTCAGTGTTGGGAATTGAACTCAGATCCTTGGGTATGATAGACAAGTGATTTACCACTGAGCTGCATTCTAGCCTTATTTGTTATTTTTAGAAAAAGAATTCTAAAACCTAAGGGGATAATATCTAAAGAACATTTGAAAATATTTTTTAGTATATCAAACCAGGGAATTTATGGGCTGAGAATTTAGAAAGACAGGAAAATGAAGAGGAGGAAAGCCGATGGCCTCAGCCCACAGTCTTTTATCTCTAAATGAAGAACGTAACCCAAGAATATCATTAAAATACAACATTTCCTCTAAAAGATGAAAAATATTTTATGGTGCATTCTTAAACCATTGCATCTCCAAGAACTTGCCAGACAAAATAGCTAGGGAAAAAAACCAAACAATTTATCCTGTGAATGAAAAAAAAATGCAACAGCAAGAGCCAAACAGTGTTGTAATTTCTCTCTATTTGGAAATGGACAGACATGGATGCTCTTGGCTGGCTTTGGTTTACCTACATTGAAAAGAAAGCAGTTCTACCATTATGTTGGAAAATTTCAGTCGTTCAAGAGAAGTCGATCTCAGTGGTTGCTGGCAATGCTGTGCAATGAATCAGCAGATCTATATTTAAATTTTAGGATTTTATATCCCAGACATGAGACAAACAATTCTAGTTAATGAAAAACAAGTGAGTGGAAAATAAAATCTGTACAATTCTGAAGGTCTTGAGAGTACAATAAAAGCAATCACTGACATATGTATAGCATGTGTTTATAAAGTTCTCTTCATACATAGAAATTTCTTTAGTCCTCATAACACCCCTGTGAGGTGAGGGTACCAACTCCATGGTAGAGCCAATGAAATGGACTTTGTATTTTTAAGAAACATATCTAAAGCCATACAGTTAATAATGAAGGAATTGTGAGAAGATGTGGAGCAGTTCTTTTCTCATTCGCTTTTTCCTAACTTCACACCTGCATCTTCTCTACACTGACATGGTGGGGGTATTTCTATCTGACTCACTTTCTAATTGTTGGATCCAGATTCACCAAATATGAATATAATATAGCACAGGACACCTTGTTACACCAGTCAAATATGTTTACAATGTCCAAGAGAAAGTCAACAGATGACCTTAGGCAATCATGTTATAGAAAAGCTGACATTCCTTGTATAAATCTGATTTTAGAACAATTGCAAGTGGGAAGAAAAATTGTCACTGTCTTGGACAGTGACATTTTTCTCTAACATTCAGCAACTTAGTACTTATATTTTTGCGGCCAGTAAAACCTGAAGAACCTAAAGAGGGCACTGCCAGTTATCAAGTTATAATTTTACATTCAGGGTGACATATAAAGTGTAACAGAACTTGGTAATTTTCACTCTGAAGTCATCACCCTCCTGACCGATATGCCTCTCAAATCTCTAGCAAGGAACCCAGCAGCTAATTACCATTTGGAGTTGCATTTGATAAAGAATAAATGGATTTTATCTGATGGAAACATGATTTCTCTGAAGTCTCTCCTAAAGCATGAGCTCACTTTGTTCAGAAATAGTGCATCTATGACACTTCAACCAAACAAGCCTTACTTATGACCTAAGTCAAAATATTAAATGAACCAACCACAAAATATGAAGTCAGGGTAGTTATGAATTCCACAGAACTCTGGTTGTATTTCTGGAACTCAGGCCTGCACATTTCAGTGTGGCGTGTTTTTGTATTTACATTCTATATAAAATAATTCATAGTTTTTGGTCATAGTGATGTGGAAAACACAACTAGAAACAAAGTCTTGTACCCGATGAGTTGATTTCTGCGTGTCTGATGTAAGTTTGTTTGTTCTTATGATTTCTAGCTGGACTCAGCTAATGGATCAAAATGTCAGTAACAAGAGTCAGGCTGCATGAGTTAGGCCTCAGGTTGATACAGGAATGAATTTGATGGACTTGGAAGATTTGGGTGAATCCTTCCATGTGCCAGTACTGTTTGTTGGACTTCGGTTGTTGGAATAAGAAGTCTGTCTTCTGCTCATACTGTCGGTATCTTCTTTGTGGAATTGTTGCTTCATGTTTTGGCAGCACGGGAAACTTTGCACACAGTCTTGCAGAAGGTGGCCACTGAAAAACATGTATATCCAGGGATTGCAGCAACTATTCAAGGAAGCCAGTAAAGCTGTAATGGTGATGGAAGGGTTTTCTGAATCTGTATGAAAAACACACGGAGAGACCATAAAAGTGAGAAATCAAGCACTGTATAAACTCATTTTCCTAAAGACCAAAGAGGAGTGAAACAGGTTCTGAGTTAGTAGAAAAGAAAACAAACTAATAAAATAATGTTTCAGAGAAATGGGTGTTGCTTGGAATATGCTTGATTATAAAAATAGTTTTATAAAAATGATTTGAAATGAATGAAAAAGCTTTTAAACCATGATTGGAACAATTAAATACCATTTCAAATGGGAATTTGAAGAGGGTAAAGCTATGAAATGGTTCACTTAAAAAATCTGTATACTATCCCTTCCCTTCCAAATGCACAAGTGCTAATAGACAAAGCATTTACAGAACGGTTTACAATTTCCATGACACTTTAAGTCTCTAATTACATATACTATGTTGTATACATACATATTGGGTTTTATTTATAGTTTTAAAGTTTTAAACTTTGAACGTATGCTTTTGATATGGAAACTGCACAGAAAAGAAGAATGAAGCAAGCTGTTGTGTTGTCTTCTGTGGGTAATTAGACATGTGGCTTGCTTTTAGGAAAAGACCATCTTTGGGGCTCAAATTATAATAAGACCAGAAGAATTAAGAACGTGCAGGAGGATTATGAAATATTTTATGCTAACTAGCATTGGTAAACCACATAAATAGCACAACTTTTCAGTGAAACTATTGCATTCATTATATACTTAAAAATACCATCATTGAGCACTGACAATTACTTGTCTAGTTTATAAATGTGGCATTCTCACCCACAGTATAGCAGAATGAATTACAGATTGTTTATTTTTTGTGTGTGTGTGCTAGATGTTGCTGCTAATGATGATCATGGCCCATGGCTATAACAAAAACAATAGAAATACTCAACACATCTAGGTGCAAGTGAAGTTTTAGTAGTTGGATGTCAATCTCAATAAAACAAAGGACTTGAGTTTTTTATTTGTTAATATCAGAGGTTTCTAAAAATCAAGAAAGCCAGGACATGGTAAACAAAAAAAATATAGTTAATATTGTGTTTGCCATTAGTGGTAATGCAGCATACAAGAGCCTTTATTTGTTTACATCAACTTCATACACCAATATGGTGTATGAATCCAACTTCAATCATAAAACATGAAAGATAACCTTTCCCTGATATCTGTGTCTTCAGAACATTTGCTATCAAAAATATTTCTGTAATATATTGGGTGTGAAACAACTTTTTCTTACTAAAATGAAATTCAAAATAGGAAATTTCTAGCAAGCCTAAGTGAAATTTTTTTTTTTAATTTCTAGCTGTGAAGGAACTAAAAACCAAACATGCTACTATATGTAGAGAAAATTCCCAGTAAACTCTATTGCAAGATTTGTGTTGGTGTGAGTAGTAAGTGGCCAAAATAATACTGAAAGACTAGGGAGTTAGTTTAATAAGTTAGTTTATTCATAGACCTGCTTTAAAATAGCAGGAAAAAGGGAATTATCACTGGTAGAAAGACTGACAGAATATAGTGAATATATAAACAAACTTATTAAAACAAACCCCCCTTGTACACAGAATTGAGGTCTGCCAAAAAATTAAAACAAGAAAAGGAGCATGAACTAAATGCTAATTTAGAAGTCTTGACTTACTAACATCCTTTCCTCATTATCCCCAGGAAAATATGCCCCTCTTGCTCACCTTTCTCCCTGGAGAATTTCTACACAATCAATTTGTTGTGATACTTTCTATAATCCATCAAAAAAGTAGTCATGACAGTAAAAATACTTCTCTGAGTCCCGTGAGACCCCAAAGCAGGATATTCACACAGTAACTAGTTATTTGGCAAAAGGTCCTTATGCTGTTTTTCTAAGTGAAGGAAGGACTCTAGGACATCGTGTCTAGATTTGTGGTCTTAGGACCTTGAACAGTACAACTGAACCCACTGCAGACACACTGCGTTATAATGTCTACCATGTCTAGAGTGGAAACTCCAGGAATTTCATTTTTATTTATTTTTTTACTCCTCCTCCTGAATGTGACTGGTACGCATGCAAAGGTAAATACTATGCAATTGCTCTCTGTCTGTCTCTGTGTTTTTCTTTTTGTCTCTGTCTGTCTGTCTGTCTGTCTGCACAACCCCTCACTCTCCCTCCCTGCCTCCTACTACATAGAGTCCTTCCATGGTCCTGAGCACCTACCGGTCCAGATGAACTTCTCATCCCAGACCGACCACATCTGGATGATGAAGAAAGGCGCCCAGCAGAGGATGTAAGCGGTCACGATCACAAAAGTCATCTTCACCGTGCGGATCTTGGCGCGGGAAATGGTCTTCACGCTGCTGACACACGGGGCCACCAGGAGTCCCTTGTGGAAGGCGCTCCCCGCTTCCCGGGCACCCTTGTTCTGGCGCGAGGCGGTCTTGCCTCGGACGTTGCGCCAGATGTGGTAGCAGATGAAGCCGTAGCAAGTCCCCAGGATGGCCACGGGGGCCACGAAGATGCCGCTGGTCATCCAGGTCACGTAGGCGCGGGTTCCCCAGGGCTGGATGAAGGTGGCCCAGCAGTCCTGGGCCTTGGTGACATTGTTCACCTCGATCATGGAGAAGATGAAGTACTGGGGCGTGCTGAGCACGAAACTCAGCACCCAGGAGGCGGCAATCATGAGGCGCGAGCGGCGCGCGGGCTGCTGCAGCGTCTTGAGCGGGTGGCACACGGCGATGTAGCGGTCGGCGGTCATGACCACCAGCATGTAGGCCGACGCGAACATGGCGAACACCTGCAGGTGCTTCACCACGCGGCACAGCCAGTCCGGGCCGCGGAAGCGGTAGGTGATGTCCCAGCACAGCTGCGGTAACACCTGGAAGAAAGCGACCGCCAGGTCCGCCAAGCTGAGGTGTCGTATGAAGAGGTGCATGCGGGACGTCTTGCGCTGGGTGCGGTGCAGGGCCAGCAACACACTGCTATTGCCCAGCACGGCCACCACGAAAGTCACCGCCAGCACCGCGATCTCCAACTTGGCCAGCTCCTCGTTGCGCACGTCCTCCGGCGGCCCGCCGCCTCCCCCGTGCCCTTCCGTTTCTTGGCTAGCATTAGCACCTTCGGCAGCCACGGGCCACCAGCGGCTACGGTTGCCATCGGCCCCCGCGTCGGAACCTCCGGAGAAACTCATGCTGTCCATGCAGTGACCTCCGTCCGAGACGCTGCTGGAAATCCCAGCGAGCAGCCTTGGACTTGGGATCTGTGCGCCCAGCGCGCTGCCTTTGCTGCGCGCGTCCGTTCGCCTGCGCTCGCCCGCCTCGACCTCCCACCCGGCCCCCTGAGCAGCGCTCCTTCCCGCGCTCCGATCCCTCTCCCTGCTTTGCCCGTTTGCAACTCAGGCAACGCGCTCCAAGCGGCTCAGGAGCCCTGGACTCCAAACTCAACTCATTTATGAGAGGGTTTGCTTCCTCGTGTCCTACTGGCTGGAGATGGTTCGGGCCTCCCTCCCGCCTAGCCCCTCCCCATCGCCGCCGGCGATTTGTCCTTTTTGCCTCCCAGCTGCTGGGATTGAGGGCTGGGAGCCTTCGATTCCTCCACACTGAGGGCGGGATCCGGGGACGCTTTCCCGCTCTTCTCTTTCCCACACTTGGAGAACTGGCCGTGTCTCGCCTTCCGTGAGCTCTTCAATGATCTCACACCTCCATCAGCCACCTCAACTGCACACTTGATTTCAACAGGTGTAGTAAAAGCGGTGCATAGCAATCCCGCGTTCATGCACCCGCGTGAGCTCGCTCCCGCACTTGAACTTGGCGCCCTGCCTTCCCCCCCCTCCAGCCCGAGTTTCTTCCTCTGACCAAGGCGTCCCTGGACAGCCAGTGTGGTTGATTTTATTCCCGAGGCAATTTTGCTCCGGGGAATGACATCTGTCCCCGCCCCGCTCCTGAAGCCCTCTTTCTCAGGGACGTCTGAATGCTTGCGACTTGTCACTCGACCTCCCTTGTGGACTTGTCACGCTCCGCCCTTTGGTGGCGGTGCGCTCCGCCAAAGGTCTTCAGGCTGTCCTGACGCATTGTGGTGACTAGGGACTAAGAAAGGTTTCTTAAAACAAGGTTTCGAAGAGTTTCTTCCGAAAGCCTGATTGCTACAGCAGTGATGGCGGGAACTGGGGGGGCCTTCGTCGGTGAAGACTTCGTCATTGGAGACTTCTTTGGAGTGGAAAAAGACTAGCTGCCAATCAGCATAAAGCCAAGGCAATACTGTCCAGGGCCAGATTTCCAGGCGCCTGAGCTCCAAGGAGAGAAACAGGAATCTTCAGGTGCAAAAGAGGCGCTAGGAAAGAAGGAAGAAAACGTTTTCTTATTAATTATTTACTTGGGTAACAGCAGGAGTCTGCCAGGGACCCTAGGAAAGGGCAGGAATCTATGTGGCTACACGTCTCCAACTATTCGGTTTTGACTCTGGTGAAAGCATGCTTTTATAGACCGCAAGAGGGAGCTGTTTCCAGGCTGTCTTTACCAGAAAAGAAAGAAAAGAAAAACACTTTATGTGGGTATCTGCCCTTCAGACATCTGTATGTAGTGACTGTGGTATAAATTTGATTGTCTCAGAAACAAAAAATTCGTTCTGAAATGAAGGTAAAAGCAAACCCCTGAAGATTTGCTCCCCTGAAGTTATCAGTTCTAAATTCAATTTGTTATCCAGTTCATCCCCAAGGGTAGTCACTTGAAGAGTTACTGGACTTGAAGCCTACAGATCTGCTTCATTGTGGCTGTATCATAAACACGGGGAAAAGTATTTGCCCTTTCTAATTGTGATATTATTGGGAGGATCAAGGGAGATAATGTGGGGGGGGGGAGAGGGAGGAAATGCCATGAAATGGAATTCATGGGCGCTGTCCCTCAGCTCTTCAGCTCAAGGCTAGCGCTCTACCACTTGAGCCACAGTGCCACTTCTGGCCTTTTCTGCTTATGTGGTGCTGAGGAATGGAACCCAGGGCCTCATGCATGCAAGGCAAGCACTCTACCACTGAGCCACCTTCCCCGCCCCTTCCCTTCACTTTTAATATATTTTAAAATACGTTTTTTATTGTAAAAATACTGTACAGAGGTGTTACAGTTATATGAGCAAGGTAATGAGCACATTTCCTATCAAGCATTGTTGCCTCCTCCTTTGTTTTTCCCCTACCCTCCCTTCCCTCTCACCTCCACAACTACTCTCCCTACCACCCCCCTCAACTCCCTCTCCGCCTAAATTGTAAAGTTCATTTTTCAACATAGTGTCTTGTACATCTCATTGATACAATGGGTCAACCTATATCCGTATTTAAGCATTTTATTTAATAGCAACAATACTGTGATAAGCTGCAACAAATATTTGTTGCATTTCTCTGAACTAGGTCTTAAGTTGCCTAGACAGGATGTAATAATGACTAATATTTATAAACCACTCTGTTCCAAGTACTGACACAGGTGCCTTACAAGTATTACTTCAGTGAATGGTCCTATGCTGTAATTTCACTTCACAATGACAGAGATGGAGGCACAAGAAGGTGACACATGCTGCTCACAACTTGAACAGAAGTAAACGATTTTAGCAGTTTGTATCTTAATCACGATTCCATACTGCCATATGTGAGTCTCATGGTCCTGGTTCTTACAGACTCATATTGATTATTTAATATTTCATACACATATGGTCTTTTCCTCTTTCAGAGTAGAACATTCTGTAGTATTTGTACTTGTTCTTTTTTCTCTTTTTGCTCACCTAGGGCTTGAACTCAGGGCTTCATACTGGCTAGGCAGGTGCTCTACCATTTGAACTATGCTTTATATATCTTTGGTTTTCTTTTGGGCAAGACAATTACAAGGCAATAACAGCAAGAGTAGGAATAGTAGGAATAGTAGTAGTAGTAGTAATAGCAGTAGTAATAGATAATATGAACATTTAGAAATGTCAAGTAAGCTCTTACGTGCCTTAAGTTTATCATTTCATTTCATTTTGGAGATAATTTTATATGAACTGTGTGTAAGGATGGTTATTATTATCCCATTTTATAGATGAATAAGCAACTTAACCAACACCACAGGATTCCAAGCCACTGAGTAGGAGTCACCTATATTTGAACTTAAATAAATGCTAATTTCTATTTTTAAATATTAAATACAAGTTTTATTATTTCAAAGTCCTCAAGAAAGAACTACAGAGCCAGTCTTTCATGGAGGCAGAAATTCTTTAACTAGGAAACATTGGTTAAATAAATAAATAAAAGCTCACAGCTTTAGTACTGTAAATCCATATCAATATACGACTTTTCTTTTTTGTTGTTTAAGCTATGAGACCAGAGTTTCTTCTTAGAAAAATAATATGACTTTTAGGAAAAATGTATATTAACTATGGCATAAATGCCTCAAAGTGGGACTGATGAGCCATAGGGGAGCTCTATGTGGAATCTTTTGAGAAACTTCCATACTGCTTTCCAAAGTCGTTGAACAAGTTTACACTCCCACCAACAATGCAGTAGGGTTCCCTTTTGGCCACATCCCCTCCAGCATCTGTTGTTATCAGATTTCTTAATTATAGCTATTCTAACTGGGGTGAGGTGGAATCTCAATGTTGTTTTGATTAAGTTTTTAGCCCACTTATTTATCAGGCAGTTGTTTCTTTGAGGATTTGTTGTTGGGGATTTAATTTTTTGAGTTCTAAGTATATTTTAGGTATGAGACACTTGTCCATTGTATGGCTAGTGAAGATCTTCTCCCAATCCGTTGGCTTTCTATTGATCTTGCTAACTATGTCCTTTGCCAAGCAGAAGCTCTGCAATTTCTTGCAATCCCATTTGTCCAAGCTTTCTTTGATTTGTTGTGTTTCTGGGTCTTTATTAAGGAGCCCTAGAGTTTCTCCTGTTCCTTCCTGTAATGTTTTCAGGGTGTCTGCTTTGACTTCAGAGTCTTCGATCCATTTGGAGTTGACTCTGGTGCAGGATGATATAGAGGGATCTAGCTTAAGTTTCCTACAGGTGTTAGGCTGTTTTTGCCAGCACCATTTACTGAGGAGGCTGTTTTTCTTCCATTCTATTTTTTAGCTACCTTATCGAAGATTAGGTGGCTATAGGTCTGTAGGTTCATTTCTGGGTCTTCAGTTCTATTTTATTGGTCTCAGGTCTGTTCTTGTGCCAGTACCAAGATGTTTGGATTACTATGGCTTTGTAGTAGAGTTTGAAGTTTGGTATTGATTCCTCCAACACTGTTCTTTCTGCTGAGGATTGTTTTTGCTATTTGGGGTCTTTTATTGTTCCATATGAATTTTGGGGTTGCCTCTTCTATTTCATTGAAAAATGAGGTTTGGATATTGGTAGGTATGGCATTGAATTTGTAGATAGCCTTTGGCAGTATTACCATTTCAACGATGTTAATCTTCCCAATCCAGGAGTACGGGAGTTTTTTCCACTTCCTTAGTTCTGCTTTAATTTGCTTTTTCGGGTTTTTAAAGTTTTCATCATACAGGTCCTTCACTTCTTTAGTTAATTTAACTCCTAGGTATTTCATTTTTTGTGGAGCTATTACAAAAGGAGTTGCTTTCCTGATTTCAGCCGCGCTCTTCTCGTTATTGGCATACAGTAAAGCCATTGATAAATGCTCATTTATGCCAAATGCTTCTCATACACAGAACCTAACACATCTTTGCAGAATGAATGAATGAATAAGTATTGTTATAGGAATGACTTTCCAAGAATTGTATGAATATGAAGGTCAGAAAAAGCTTGGTGACTAGAAGAATGAACAATGATTGTTGGGAAGCTACCCTTGAGCACATGTCGTCTCTGGAGAAGGATGCCAAAATTTATGTTTGGAAAGGAAGAAATGTCTGTAGTCAACTCTCTGCCTTGCAAATCTTGAACTGATAGCATACAAGTAGTTCCAGCTACATATTAGTAGAAAAATCACTCTGATGAAAAAGATTTCCTAAATCAGTGCTATTATAATCATATTTTTGGAAAATCAGCTTGCATGGAAAAATAAGTTGATTGATCTAATTAAAGTTTGTTTTCAAAATTTTAACTTAAAAATGGTTGAGTTTAACATTTTTGGCCGTAGGAAATGAATGTGCCATTGAAGTTCCTGAAAAATCATTGCCAGTACCTTCAATATTCTGTCTAGAATTTGGTAATCTTCAAGACTGGTTAGCAGACTAGCAGATTACTTGTATAATCAAAAGAAAAAAAGTCTTTGTTATTAAAAGGATGTTATTTGTTGGGGTTGCTTATATTTTTTGGATACTATTTTTTGTACAATAAATAAATGTTTTATAGCCTTTCTTGCTTGTCATTTTCTTCTTTCTTTAGATTGGACAGGATTAGGTTGTAAGAAACATTCTATTTCTGTTCCTTTTTTATTATTTTATTATCTTTAAATAGTTGAACAAAAGAGTTGCCATTAAGCAAAACA